GGCACCATTTGGGCACAGTGAGAGTAAAGCTGTTTGCTGGGCAACGAGTCTGTTGCCAAGACAACAGGTGGGACTGATTTACAGAAGTGAAGTCCAGGTGGTGCAGGATCTCTGCCCTGCTGGTGGTACCTGGGAGCCAGGGTAAGGGATCCTTCTGCCCAGGGACGGTGGCTAGCAGCACTGTGTCTGTGCATCTACAGTGGCTCCTCTCTCCTCGTCAGGCCCTCTCCATCATTCTTGCTGAGGAAGTGGGACATCTGCTCCTGGGTCTCTGCTGCACCCCCACATCATCTTGCTTGTGGGTCTTCATACCTGCTCTTCTGACCACCTCAGACTCCACTTCTCTCTCCAGATCCCATTCTGTCTCCATCTGTCTTGTCCACATCTCTGCTGCCCTCTGTTGTCTGGCCTCTGTTTCCTGGGTCGCTCCATTTCCTTCCTGCCTACCTAACCCGTTCTCTGTTTCTACATCTGTCTCTCCTCTACACCGAAATCTGCCGATGTCTCTGCTGAGCCTTCCCAGCATCCCTCCACTCACAACCCACCTTACCCCCTCCCACAGCTCAGACCCTCTATGGATGAGGATGAGGTTTGGACAGAGGGTCTCAAGAGTGACTGGACAGGACCCTCCTGGAGGCCATGGGGCACCAGGCAGCCAGATGCTCCGGTCCCTGTACTTGGGCGGATGGCGCTGTCCCAGGTGCTGGGCCCAGAGCTCAATAGGGCGGGGACACAGCTGAGCCCAGCAGGACCTTGGCGGATGGGGGTGGGGGTGGGGAAGAGAGAAAGCCCTGCTCCACACCCTCATCCCACCAAATCCAAGAACCATCATGGCACCATGGTTATTGATCTTGGGATTTTAGAACACACTAGAATGTTCCATCTTCTGGGGTAAGTCATCAGACATACACACTTGTTGGGAGCTGTTAGTCTATTATGTGCATTGAGCTGTGGCAGGCTTGTTTACTGAGTTTGTGTTATGCACACCAGTATCTAATCTGCCTAATCAGGAGGAATGTGTTTATATGGAGAGCCTCACAATATCTGACCTGGAGGCAATAGTGGTAAACAAAAAGTTCAAAGAAGCCTTTGAAGTATCTGACCCCTCCTTGACCCTCAGGTACAGGTGGGAAAAACAGCTGTTGAAACTAATTGAGTTCTTCTATATAAAAAGGCTGAGCTGAAATAAACCAGGGCTGCAGTCACCACTGTTAGCCCTCCCAAGTATCTTTTCTGTCTCTTGTTTTTTCTTTCAATCCTCACTCCCCCTTTCAGGTACTGTCCGTCTTGGCCGGCTGGCACCAGCACACACCAACCACCATCTTTGGCAAACACACACAAAACAACAAAACACTTTTTACAATGAAAAGGACTAGATTCCAGAATGAGAGAGAGAGAGAGAGAGAGAGAGAGAGAGAGAGAGAAATCATGGGCTCCTCAAATTCCCTTCCAAGGTGTTCGCTCACACTTTAAGATCTGGAACCTACTCAGTACCCCACCTCTACCCCAGTGTGATCCTAGGATGAAGGATCCACTCAGTACTCCAGGAAGAGCAGTTTAATAAATTACAAGAAGGAAATGGCACCATTTGGGCACAGTGAGAGTAAAGCTGTTTGCTGGGCAACGAGTCTGTTGCCAAGACAACAGGTGGGACTGATTTACAGAAGTGAAGTCCAGGTGGTGCAGGATCTCTGCCCTGCTGGTGGTACCTGGGAGCCAGGGTAAGGGATCCTTCTGCCCAGGGACGGTGGCTAGCAGCACTGTGTCTGTGCATCTACAGTGGCTCCTCTCTCCTCGTCAGGCCCTCTCCATCATTCTTGCTGAGGAAGTGGGACATCTGCTCCTGGGTCTCTGCTGCACCCCCACATCATCTTGCTTGTGGGTCTTCATACCTGCTCTTCTGACCACCTCAGACTCCACTTCTCTCTCCAGATCCCATTCTGTCTCCATCTGTCTTGTCCACATCTCTGCTGCCCTCTGTTGTCTGGCCTCTGTTTCCTGGGTCGCTCCATTTCCTTCCTGCCTACCTAACCCATTCTCTGTTTCTACATCTGTCTCTCCTCTACACCGAAATCTGCCGATGTCTCTGCTGAGCCTTCCCAGCATCCCTCTACTCACAACCCACCTTACCCCCTCCCACAGCTCAGGCCCTCTATGGATGAGGATGAGGTTTGGACAGAGGGTCTCAGAGTGACTGGACAGGACCCTCCTGGAGGCCATGGGGCACCAGGCAGCCAGATGCTCGGGTCCCTGTACTTGGGCGGATGGCGCTGTCCCAGGTGCTGGGCCCAGAACTCAATAGGGCGGGGACACAGCTGAGCCCAGCAGGACCTTGGCGGATGGGGGTGGGGGTGGGGAAGAGAGAAAGCCCTGCTCCACACCCTCATCCCACCAAATCCAAGAACCATCATGGCACCATGCTTATTGATCTTGGGA